TCAACGGCAAAGTGCAACGCTGTTAACCCGGTCCTACTCTTAGCCTTAATATCCGCCCCCGCATCCAGCAGGATCCTCACGATGGATTCCTGGGTGTAGCAGGCCTCGACCGCCGTGTGCAGTGCTGTCTCGTGCCGAATGTCCCGGGCCTCCAGGTCCGCACCGTGGGATAAGAGTAATTTTACCACTTCCTCTCGATTCCAAGTCACGGCGACTTGCAACGGCGTCTTCTTATACGGCCCGCTCGCATCGTTCACGGCTAGGCCCCAGGACAACAGCAGGCTAACGAGCGGGATGTGACCCTTTTTGGCGGCCCAGCAGAGCGCGCTTAGCCCGTTTTTAGATTGTAGTGCGTGGTGGTGCAGGTGTGGGGTTAGGATGATGTGGAGTTTTTTGGACGTCTCGATTAGATGCTTTAAATCGCGGGGCTGGAGATGGGAGATTATCAGGAGGAGGAGCTCGGTCGGGAGTGTTGGAAGGGACATTGTTCGTTGAGATGGATGATGGGAAGGGGGGACGGAGTTGTATTCAGTCAGTCGGAGGCGAGGTTGAGAAAATGCTGTGGTTTAGGGGTCAGTGTTTGATGGTTGGGGCGCAGTTGCTCGTCGGTGGTGTCGGGGGAAAAAGGTGAGCGAGGAGGCTTAAACGGTCGGCAGGTTTCCTCAAGTATGATATCCTGCTGTGTGAAGACCAGCCAGCTTGGCGTCGAACATCAAAATTTAATTCACCATACCGGTATCCTATAGGCAGTTGGCTGAACCGCTTCTGATAGAGTGGATTTTGCGGAGTCATGGGTTTCTGTTTTATTTATTGAATTTTGGATTTCCTTCCCTCCGTTTCGCCAGCAGAAGGAAAGATTATGTGGCTAATTGGGAAAAGGGCTTAATCCGGTTGAATTGTCACGAAAGGAATCTCGAGTGATCCAGAGTGATGTTTTGTTTCCAGGCAGCTTAGACCACTTCTCTGCTCCTCGCATATCGCGCCCCGGGGAGAACAAAGTGTCAAAAGCATCTATGTTTCGCCGTTTCGTGAACAAAATTTCCGTAACATGGTACAAGTGTCTACATCCGGCATGATACAGTAGACAAGATCAGTCCTCTGGACTTAAACGAGCTCACTCGGGAAATAATACAGATCATATCAGGAATAAGCTGTTGAACAAGCCAATGATGCCCCCTTCCCCTCCAGCACACCTAACCTTCCCTGGTTCGGTACATACATCCTCACATTTCGCCAAGCAACACGCACTCCGTGATACCATCAATACATGCGCACTCCCCTCCTTCATTTCACCTTGTGTCACTCATGCCAATCTATTCAAGAAAACCCCTATGTGCGGTCACCAATAGGGTCTCAGCAACTCATGGAATTGAAATCAATGTGATATTATTATCATCACACACGCTGCTCCCCATAGGACCTCTTGGAGAGCTAAAAGCGGGATTTGGGACAGAGACTGATAGTTTCAGCACTTTTGAAAATAGTCCAGGTGCCCGGCACTGCATCAAGCCACTGTTTCCAGGAAACCCGAGGCCAGAGAAAAGGACGAGAACTGAGTTTTGAAACCTTACCTCTGGAGAAAACTTTGAGCCCATCCCCTCAATGGAGGCATTACGGTAGTGCATCTCGTATCTCTCCACCCGGTCTGCCAAGATCCAATAATGCAATGGAGCTCGAGTACCAATACCGGTACCGATGGTGTTAGTGGGGTTATCGGTATCTTGAACATACGAGAGTATTCCGGCACTGCGCTCGGGTACTAGTACCGGTACTGTACCTGAGGCATAACTGTCCCGGTACGATATGTCCCTTTTTTTCCTTCCCACCCAACTCACTGACTACTGTACTTGTAACCAACCAGACAACTCCCTGCACGGCCACCCATGGTAGGAACCAGAATAATTGGATCTCGAGCTACCCGTAGGTCATTGGAGCTGCCTTTCCCGGTAAGGTTAGTTGTGTTTTTCTTTTTATATGTTTCGGCGGAGGGCTATGATACGGTAGGAATTAGTTTTTTTCTCTTTTTTCTTCTTTGCTCCGGTGCGCCCCCTTTAATCCAAAAGGGGTAATTCTGGCTGTTTTGACGTGAGATAAAATTATTCCGTTATCTACCCGAGTACTCGTGTACGAGTACTGTACTCTACAGGCACAAGCAAGCCAACCTTTAGCGTGGCTGTCGAAAATTGTGGTTTGATATTCTGATTGCCGCTGTGTCGTTTGGGCTGAGATAAGAGGCGTGCCGGGCGCAGTATCAGAATCACCATCAGCGTCTACTTGGTGGTTATTGCCAACATTTGGCCCTAAAGATACTCGTTTACCCTGTGGGAACGATGGCGCGCATGGGGGGAACACTAAGTATAATGCCGTGATTGGCTCGCCGGCCAAGCGTCGTAGTCAGAATTCTGAATATTTCCCTTCCCCCCTGAGGGCTAACCATCGTGTTACTGTTCGGGGTAGACAGTCAAGAGTCGAAACACCGAGCAGTTTGCAGTCGGTTGAGGAGTGCCTCAGCAGTTAAGAAAAATTGATCCAGATCTACGGGCACAGACGATTGAAGTATCGGGGCAATTAAGCCTTGTACTTGCTTGTAGGGGAACTGACGCCTTAGTGTCGGCCGACTCTACGGGTGTTCGGTGGATGTCTCCTATCGTCCCACATCTGCGTGCGAGGAAAAAGGTGAGATCTTGGTCAGGGGTTACACTACTCGAGTACAGTACAGTACAGTGCTGTACAAGATTGCGCTAACCTAATGCGCCGACAAGAGCAGACCAGGAACCTGCAAACACAACAACCTCTAACAAGCCTCCATCCGATGAACTACCAACCCCTCTGCGACCAAACAAAAGGTTCGCCTTTTGGCCACGGTAAGAAGTTTGGGGAACTCGTGATTGGGATGGAGGGATTAGTGGTCTACTCGAGTACTTGAATACAGTGCCACCATGTCTCATTGGAGTCATGAGGTCTGAGCCGATGTCGTGTCATGCGGGTTAGCCCCTGGTGACTCGCTTGCTATCATACCACTTCTTGGGAGGCAAGACACTACGAGTAAACCGCAGTACAGTAACTATCTCAGACTTCTATTGGACAATGCTGAGAGCAACGAACGTTTCTTGGCTAACGGACATTGTGGCGGGGGGTTCCAAATTCCAATGTCAACGCAAACTCTCAGCATTCTGGTCGGGGTTTGGTTTGCACAGTAGAGTGCAGCTACTGTGAGTGCCTCTCGATGCAAATTAATATTCACTATGCTTCTGTCATAGTGCCGGCACATCTCCATACCATCATAAACTACGGTATATTTTCTTCATGCCTCCCAGTAATATCCGGCCGTTTAGGGAGGCAAAAAGTCCTTCACTTTTTTTTCAAGCGCCGGCCTCGACAAGCCATCTCCGGGCGCCTACCCGGAGGTGTGGGTTAAGCCGTGTGAGCCTGGGGGCTTAAGTTACACAACTTCTTGTTACAAGTATTTACAGTTACGGACTGGATAAATTACGGGCCGATATGTCCCAAGAGCCCAACTTTCATTGTTGGGTGGGTATCCCACGCACTGCAAACCGCCTTCAGGACTGGTTGATGGGTGATCCTTGGACCGAAGCACGACCTGACCTGGGAATACCATCACATATTTCTAGAAAAGGAGTACGGAGTCTAAGCAGGTACAGGTACAAACTCACAAAACGTGACTACCGTACCGTACTGCACTTGTATTGTGCCCGAGTACCATATTGACCCCCCGTGATACGCTATCTGTGTCAGCTGCTACTCTCATGACTCAGAGGCAAAAGTCCTTTGGAAGAATCGGTTGTTTCCTAACACAGTACGCCCGGGTCCTTTACCTGTGCTAGATTTCATCAACTGGTTTTCGCAATTCCACTAACTCGCCAAACTAAACCTATTATGGGCTGACGCTGCGATTTACGGGGATATTGGAGACCTACGGAGAAAGAAAATTGGAGGGGGTTTCTTTTACGGTATGGCGCTCTACTACTCGAGTACCTTGCGGTACTTATTTATTTTCCTCGGAGGGGATGGGATCCCTCTACGAGTAGACCTTAAATATCAGCAAGGCTAAGCAGCGAGGTACTTTTGTCTGGTACAAAATATCTGAAGATGAGGCAGGGTTTTTCTTTCTTTTTTTTCGCTGGTTGGGTGGCCGTGTAACTGTAACCATGTTTTCAGATAATTATTTCCATATACAAGTACCGTACTACGGGTTGCTACTCGTGCTGTACTCGAGTACGAGTACAAAGCTCTCATACTCCCTGCACCTCCAGGGTACTACTAACCCTTGGAGACGCTTAGCTAGCCTTCTCTTTCTATTATTGAGTAAGAGACAAATCATGATAATTTGTTTACTGTACGGTGTCCCCAGAGGCATCCAAGAAGAGTTATATAGGAGGCACCTGTTCTGGTGTTATTGATGGGTATTGTTCTTGGGGTACAAGAAAGGGTACAAGAACCTTACGGATGCGGCTGTACTGTACTACCTTCAACTAAATTGGTGTTACTCAATTGGCTAAGTTAGCGAAAAGGGATAGGTTTGTGATGCATGTTAGATGAGTGACACTCTTGCTAACGGGGCGGACACAGGTATAACCAATGGTTTCTTGGGGCTGAGGTGGTCCTGATGCCAAATCCGTGGGTCTGAGTAACTGGGGGTGGTAACTTTGGGTTTTCAATTGCACTTTGGTACCATGGGAGTCCCTACCCCAGTCTATCTGATAGTGACACACAGTGTAGCCCTGCGCCGAGTTCGAGAAGTGAATTGGGATTGTTCGTACCACTGTGCTTCTAGTCTGCTTGGATCTGCTTGGAAAGTGCAGTGTATAAATAATGCATGATATATCCCCCGAATAATAATAGTCCATAACTATCAATCTTTTCAGTTCTCACCAGTCACTCGCTCCAGCATCACGTTCCTTTCCGGAGCTGTGCTCACTACCAGCTATTCAGCAATTCACTCGTTTAGAGCCGTGCTCATCACAATCTTTACCATTACAATGACCTCATTCCTATTGAAAACTCTTCTGACCCTTCTCTTGGCCATACTCGGCCTGTCCAGCGCAGCAGCACTGCCCATGGGAACTCTCAGGGCCCGCGCTGTCGGATTTCCAATCAACACTGCTCTCCCCACAGGGAAATCGACAACACCCGCCCAAACGGTCGCCTACTTTGGCCAGTTTGGCAAATTAGGAGAGGATAGTCTGTCGAAATTTTGCTCGAATACTAACGTCGATGTGGTCGTCCTGGCGTTTGTGAATGTGTACAAAGGCGCCGGTGGGCTTCCGGGCATGAACCTGGGTGTTTACTGCGATACCAGGATCCCTGGGACAGACTTGCTCAGTTGCCCTAACATTGGGAAGGATATCGCCGCCTGTCAGGCTGCTGGGAAGAAGGTACTCCTGAGTCTTGGTGGCCAGGAAGCGAATGGTAATTCCTTGCCAGATGATAACTCCGCCACAGAACTCGGAGACAACCTCTGGAAACTGTTCGGTGAAGGCAAAGGGCTGGAGAGCAAGAGGCCCTTCGGCAGTGCTTTAATCGACGGTTTCGATATTGGTAAGCCTGCCTTCTACCCACCTCAAGAGCTCCCCCCGAGGAAGTCTAACTAGCGGTATCTGTCTAGATAACGAAAACAAGGACTCCCAAGGTTACCCAAAACTGATCTCAACGCTGCGTGCAAACTTCAAAACCGGCACCAAAAAGTACTACATATCCGCGGCCCCGCAATGTCCTATGCCGGATGAATCACTCGACGAGGCCGTCTATAAAGTAGACTACCTATTCATCCAGCACTACAATAATCCCGCCTGCCAACTCGGCAATTTTGTCAACTCTTTCAAAGCCTGGTCCGCCAATATCGCCGCGCGCACCACCTGCGGGACAAAAGTCTTCGCCGGTTTTCCGGGAAGCGAAACGGCCGCCGGACAGGGCTATGCGACGCACGACGATATGAAGAAATATGTGGCCGCGGTGCGCGGGTTGCCGAATTTTGGTGGGGTGATGGTTTGGGATGGGGTCCAAGCTGCGGGGAATGTCGTCTCTGGGAAGAGCTTTTTGCAAGCTATGAGGGAAGCTCTCGCTTACTAGTTGTGTTCTTAATGTCCTGTTTCTTGTTTCTTTTCTTTTCTTTTTCTTTTCACACTCTTTTCATCTCACTTTCGGGATCTAACTTTATCTGACTTGACATGTTCTTTATCTCTCGTTAATTTGTTTCCCCCACCTTATTTATTGAGATCTTTAGTAGGGACGAATGGAGTGACGGATTTTTAGTACTGGTATCTTAATTTGATGAACATCTCTAACAACTATCTTAGTCAGCAACTTCAAAATAGGAGCCAAAACTTGGAATCAAGATATTCCCCCCAGGCGAACTCCCCATGCACATGAAATTTTTGTGATAATATTATGATAAATTACCATAGAAATACCATGAACCTCCATCAACCCCTTTCCCCCTCAAAAAACCATCACACGAAGTACTGTACCCCCCGTATGATACCTCAAGAGTTCGCATCCCCCTGATTACGTACTCGAATACCAACCCACAACCACTCGCAATTTTTATATCCCAGCACAACAATTCCACCACCACCAACTCGCCTCCTAAAACTACACTTCCACATCCCCCGCCCGACATGTGCGAAAACATCTTTTCTTTAAAAATAATGTTGTAGCAATAGTAATAATAGTAATGGGTGGGGGGGAAAACACCCCTTCAAAAACGGAAATACACTTTCTGTCAAAAAAAAAAAAAGTTTCAAACTGAGACTGAGACATTCGTCGCTCCGACGGAATATTGCGATGGGTATCACAAATAATCACTCGCTGAGTACCGGGGGGGATGAATAGGAGAAAGAAAAAATAGAGTCATGCTGGCGCCTCGTGTTGGGAAGGGGAATGAAGGAAAAGAGGGATGGAAGAGACAAGAGGTTTGCGGATATCACCATAGGTATGGTACCGGAAGGAAAAATTATGGTTTTTTTTTTTTCTTTCTTTTTTTCACACCCGATTTTCCGCGGGGGGTGGGGAGGGGGTGATAGTAGAGTTCCGGATGCTCACTTACTGTTCACCACTGGAAGGGTGGAAATGACCGTGTTGTCTGAATATCTCTTTCTTTCTTGCTGTGAGCACCACCACTGCCGCACCGTGCTGTGCTTGTGTGATGACTGTGGACGACACGGGGTGCCGTGGCATCGGGCTCGGAAGGCAGTGTTGTGTTATCATAGGGGTTGCTTTGGCTCTGGGTATGTTGATGTGCTAAATTTTTGGTTGGCTTACTCGCTGTGACATTCAACAGTGATGATTTTCACCTTTTTTTCTTTTAACCCCCGTGTCTAAAAGATCGAGATATCGTAGGAATCAGTGATACGCGCTAGAGTACGAATGTTTAATTACACCCCGCTACATAATAATATACAGTGCATAACCTTTTATCATAGAACAAATGCCATACTTCACCCTAATCACTATACTACAATGGCACTGCAACACTCACAACCCACCAACCCACCAACCCACCAACCCACCAACCCACCAACCAAACGATCCGGCGCTACCAATAAACCAGATTACGCCTGAAACGCCTTGAGTAATGTTGTAGTAGAAAAACGGATACCATCTAATAAACTCCACTAAAAAAAATTAATAATAATAATAAATACCCCTTCTTATCCTTTACAGTCCCTTCCCCTCCTTTCACTCCAAAATCACCAACTCCCCTTCTTCCCCAGGTTGCCTATCTTTCGCGAACACGTCCTTCCACTCATCCCAAAGCCTCTGCAGCTCCGCAATGTACCTCTCTTGTAACTCATCCACTTCCGGATCCCTTGGAGAGTCGCTTTGTTGCTTCGGGAATATCGGGTGGCCGACTGCACACGTCATCAATGTCTATCCACACTACCCACCCCACCAGCCAGCCAACCAAACAGACAAGGGGGAGTTACTTACTGACGGTATTCACCTCTCTTCTATATGGCAGGAAGCCCACATCATAATTAAACACACCCCTAGCATGAAACAACGGAACGGTGAATCCTGCAGTCTTCTTAACAAGCATCTGTAGTTTTCTGATGAGTGAATTGGAGCTGGGGACCACTTGGTCGTATAGGTCATTCTCGCCAAATGATAATACTGGCACCACACCCGCGTTTTCGCGAATAGCTATTTTCAAGAAGCCGCGGCGGCGCTTGAGGACTAGCTTCATGGTTCCCGGGATCGCCTCAAGACTTTCTCGCGCACCGCCTACGACGATGGTGATTGCACGGCCGCCGGGGGCGGGTTGCGGTGGTGGGGATTTGAAAAATTTCTTGGCTAGCCACGATTGCCTTGCCTTGCCCTCGCCACGGAGGAGTGCTTCGCAGCTGCGACGGGAGACGCTGGCAAGGCCGAGCTTTAGTAGGTACTCACGGTAGAACGGGATGCGAAAGTTGGATTCCAAGGTTAAGAGGGTGTTTTTTATTCCGGGAAAGAGCTTTTCGAAGCCAGTTGTGCCCTCTGTGCAAAAGTGTCCAAAGGCTCCATGTGAGATTATCCCGTGGGGGTGGTAAGTGAAGATATAGTTTCGGTTTGGGGGGAGGGGGCTGCTACGGTGGAGGTTTAGTGGGAAGTAGCCCGTCAAGAGACGCCACATGGGAAGTGAGCGGAACAACGAGGAGCGGATCACCGGGGATGAACCGTCGCGGTGGGAGTTGGAGTATAGGACGTAGATGAGGTAGGGTATCAGCAGCGGCCAGGTCAAGGGTATCGCGAGCAGGAACCAAAAGAGTGAGACGAAAATTGCGATTGCAAATGTGTGCCAAAGGACCGCGGTTGTCTGGAGACGGCGTTTGAGTGGGATGTTGAGAGGCGCGAAACGGATACTACCGACACGGGTTAGGTTGCTCGACACGGGCTTTGAGACCAAAAACGAACCGTCTATTATTTACGTAGTCGCCTGAGACCAATCTTCCTTTCCCCCTCCTAGGGGTTTTGTCCTTCGTTTCGTACCCATCCGGCGATGTTGAGCTTCCCCCAGTCTTCCGATGCGACATCGGCTCCTTATACTCCTTGTCATCACCATGATAACGCTTGACACCGTTTCCCCTTCGCCCCCCATGGGGCGGTTTCGCGATTTCCGAGGCATAAAATTTTCCCCCAACTTTCCCATCCCCGCTCACATCATTTATGTTCCAATCCCCCGAGGGCAGAACCGGCTCAGGTGCCGCTGCAGCATAGCTCTTCGGCAACTCCTTCGGAACAGGTGCCGGAGCCAATAAATCAAACCCGTCCTCGGAAGAGCTGCTCAGAATGTCTTCCTCTGTGTGTGGTTGCATTCCTGCCTCTATAGTCTATTGTCCTCGCTCACGAGATTTAGTTTGCGGGGGAACCTTCGATGTCGGGCTGGATCAATCAATCGTGATTGGTGGGCGATACGGTGGAACAAGCTTTTTGATGACCACTGGACGATCGCTGGCGGATATTTGGATCGTTTAGATCCTAAGGGTGGTGATTGGAGTGGAAGGGAGGAGTGGAAAATGTTTGAAGAGGGGAACGTTGAAGCCGAGTAAAATGCTGAATTTCCTGGTGGTTCAGTTGACAAGGGATGACGACGCTCACGTGATTACCTATTGTAATTGGGGTTTGGTGACCGGGAAACTAGTGAAACCCGTATTACCACACAGATTGTACTCGTACTGGTATGGTGCCGGCACCTTAGAATCTAGCCCCCAACGTGCCCCCTCACGACGGCCGACGACAGATATTTCAACTTGCAACAACACCTACAAATAGAATTTTCAAAAACCCTTTTATACAATCCTCCTAATTGTATATTATAATGTATTTATAGAGCGATTTTTTTTAGGGAGCCTCCTGGTTGGCACTGCAGAGGCCTTCAAAGTTTGTATGGGAAGGAGGATACGGTAGTGATTCCGGTACTTGTATGATATGGGAAAAAAAGAGTTTGCTTAATAATTAGCCAAGAAACTTCCGATTAGGCAAGGAACATTACCGTATTAGGACTAGCGCCTTTATTACTGTGAGACAGGGTAGGTTCTAAGGTGTCGGCACCATATGAGTAATACCGCATTACCTGGGTAAATTGGAAAAGGCGCTAGTAGAGCGATCATGAAACGTGGCGTGAAATTGGGTGGTGGCAAAATAGTGGCTTAATAGCCGAATATCAGAATTATGTAATGAGTGATAGCCTGTGATGGTGTGATCACCTATATATACAGGAATAACTGGACTATAGGAGAGTTATTCTTGATCTACAAACTCCATTAAATTATCCTGCTCATACTCGCAATGTGTAGTTTCCTGAGTTCTCACACTTGCTGAAAGAATATACTCAGTTCTGTTCAACCTCCAGTCCCAAATGTATAATTGTGATAGTAGTATGCCCTTTGTAGAGAGTTTCTCATCACAAGACCCATCGATAGGAAGTGTTAGCCCCAACTGCTGGAATGTTTTAACTACAGACTCTTGATTTCTATGATAAAATATCTCCCATGCTTGTCCTACTACATGGGTAACTAGAACTCGCCATGCAGCAATAGCAGAGAGATTTGTAGGAGAGACATCATGAAGGCTAGTATTGTTGCTAGTTTCATAGTCTTCTAGGAGGTTGTCTAGGATATCACGAAGAATATCCTTAAATGGTTTATTGATTGACACGTCGAGTGGCTGAACCAAGCCAGTGCACCTAATGGGAATTATAAAAGGTAGGATATTGTGTAAACATAATGTACTGAGTATACTAACAGTGGAGTGGAACGTTGCCATATCTAGGGTAAGAAGTCGCAGTCCTGGTAGAAGAGCAGGTACTAGCATGTTGTTGATCCAGTGAACAAAAAGTTCTGAATTGGCATAGGCAGTTTCGTTCCACTGCACTTCCACTCCTGGATGGTACTTTGAGGCTTCCTCCTCTCACTTTTATTGATAAAACTCCTCTCCTTTACCTTGATATTTTTCTTTTCCTCAAAAAATAATTGTAGGCCATACTCACATTTTCCCACTTTCAAAGGCAGCCAAAATCATTGTTGCCTGACATTTATTCCACCACTATTGGAAGCCTTCACTTGAACTGATTTGCTGTCCTTATCTGTCTAGGTTTGGCCTTCTAAGAACTCAAAGGGCAATGGAGTTTTGTCGACATGGTAAATGCTATCCAAAAGATAACTGCCAACAACTAAAGGCTCATCAGAGGACTGTGGCCGAATTTGGAAATTTCTTCTATTAAATTGGAGCCAGGAGAGAATTGGAGAGAGGTAATCAGTAGGCACTTTCTATGCAATATTTGTTGTAAATCGGGAGGTTATGAAATTTTGAGCAAGAAAGCAATTGAACTACCCATTTAAGAAGGAAAATTGGCTGATGTCTCCCAGGGGATAGCATTCCTGAAAAGACTTGCGAGCTTGATGCTGGAGCCAGGTATGCTGGACAGTCTTTTTTTCTTTCCTTCATTTGCAGTATTTTTCATAGAGGCTTTCCTCTAACTCTGGCCACCTGTACTATGTACCTGCCTTTCCTCTGGCCCAACCTCCCTTCTTACTATAATGTGTTCGCAAGGTGCTAATCACGTTATTGGTAATAGATATGATAGTTAGCTGGTAGCCTGCTCTTCCAAAGTGGAGGCGAGGGCTGAGAACTAAAGGAGGCTTCGGAGGTGTACTGAGGAACAAAGATGTAACCATTCAACCAAGTATATTGAAATACTATCTGTCGAAGTCTGCCTTTTCTATTGTAGAAACAGGCGGTCTTTAAATACAAAAATCTGTTCATGTCTAGCATGAATGAAACTAATCAAAAGTATTAATTGATACATTCTGGTAAAACTAATTAAGTATCAAAGCGATACTTAAAACAAAACATGAAACAAAAGCAAGTATCAAGCAATACTTAAAACAAACCAAGTATCAAAGCGATACTTAAAACAAAACATAAAACAAAACCAAGTATCAAGCGATACTTAAAACAAACCAAGTATCAAAGTGATACTTAAAACAAAACATAAAATAAAACCAATAACCGAGTACCCGTACCAGTTACATTCCCCAAAACAAAACAACTGTTTAAACAAACAAAAACCTAATAATCATCAAAAGCTGAGTCGGAGAAATCAAAGGCTTCAATTTCCGCCATTTCTTCATCATCCCAAGTGTCACACTAGGTACACGAAGAAATCCTGAGGAAACATTTAGACTTAAAGAAATGTAAATCACAATAGTTACGAATACCAGATTTATGCAGTATATCAACCCAAGCGTTGTTGCAATCAGTACAGTAGTCTATACAGAGGATTTCGAAGTAGTCTTCAAGTTGGATAATATTGTGGTTCAACAACAGTCTAACAATCTGTTGTCGCAGCCTTACATTGAGTTCCACATAGTTTGATATCGTTATAGTATTTGGATGGTGATCAGTGATCAGATAAGGTTGTAGAGAGCTTGCTCCATAGCTTGATTTTCATCATCGCTACTTTCGAATTCCAACTCAAAGTATGGTGCCCAAAACCCATCCCTTGCTTCGTGTTCCATCTGCCATCGCTCCATCTCAGGCATCGTTGGTGTCTAGTATATTGTGATGTAATTGATCGTTGGAGGGAGGGATTCATTTGGCATGTTGTCTTTCCACCATTCGTTCACCATATCCATGGCAAGCTCTAATCCTTCCAGTGGTTCCCAGCTGTTTTCGCTTGTTGGATATCCTTTCCATTTGACTAGGAACTGATTATTTCCATGCCAAAGGCGGTGGTCTCGGATTTCTTCAACTTCCCATTCATCTTTCTTATCAATGATAATAGGTGCAGGTCGAGAGTGGGTTCTTCCAGGGAACTTAGAATCGTCATTTGAGTGGAATCACTTAACAGCAGAGGCGTGGAAGACTGCAGTATTGTGGCGATACATATGTCCATCCATTTGGACAGTGTAGTTTTCTGTATGTTCGTCAAAGAATAAGACCTTGAAGGGTCCTCGCCATTGGGGTTGTAATTTCTTGCTTCGTCCAACATTGGTAATGAACATGTTTCCATGTACCATGAGCATATTACCTGATGGAATAGGGACATGTTTGCGTCGTCACTTCTGAGCAGTAGTGGTGCTTCGGAATTGGGCAGCTTTAACAGCTTGGAAGGCGTCATTCCGTATTGCTTGATGGCGGTTTAGGTGGTCATCGGAGGTAGGGACTGAGGAGTTCTTAAATGGAGTTTTAGGTAGGAGAGGGTATTGATGACCGAAGATTGCCTTATATGGAGACATTCCCAAGGTGTCTGAAAATCTGGCATTGATATATACGGCGAGCTCAACGAGGGCTGGTTCCTAGTTGGTTTGTCATTCATTGATCATATTCCTAATTCCGGTCTTGACTTCGTGGATTTTTCATTCTACTTGGCCATTAGTCTCATGATGTCCAGGGGCAGCCATAGTGTGGTTGATTCTGAGGGAGGTCAAGGTTTGCTTCCAGAATCTGGCAGTGAAATGGGTATCAGCATCACTGACAATAGATAAGCGGTACCCATGGGGGGTAAATAGGTATCATTGGAGGTGATTTCAGGTGTCTTTGGAGCAATCGGTAATCTTCATTGGTATGAGCTATGTGTATCCAGAAAATCGATCTACAGCTACCAAGATGGTGTCATATCCTGCGGACTTGTTGAATGGTCCTGCGAAATCGATGGCATAGGATTCAAATATTTCACATGGTAGTTGGAGGGTCTGTGCTTTTCCTTCAGGTAGTTGTGTTCACTCCTTATTTGCCTGGCAGAGTTCGCATTGTTTGACGAAATCGCGGAAGTCCTTTAGCATTTCAGGCCAGTAAATATATTCTGAGGCATATTAGAGATTGCGGTCCGCACTATGATGTCCTTTGTTGTGGATTTCGGTGATGACATATTCCCTAATAGTCATTCCATTGAACATATGGCCTTTCGGGATGTATAAGCAATGTTCACCATAATGGGTGCTGGTATAGACCATTCTATTGGATATGTTGTAGGGGGCGAGGTCTTCATGTCTGGAGCTATTCATAGCTTTGAAGTAGATCGGACTGTGGTGATATCCTGCTATCATTTGGCTTTGGAACAAGGAGGTTATTTCTTCTGTAGTTGATCAGACATCTCGTTCATCCTCAATTAGGGATCCTCTTGTCAGTTCAATAGGGACTTCCTCTTCGTTAAAGGTTTCATAGAGCTGTCGGCAATGCTCTGGAATCGTGGGTGGCATGACAGAATCAATGGTTTCATTGTTGTATATTCGTAAGGGTCCACCATATAGTGGTTGTGAATCGATTATGGGAGGAGAGGATGGCGGGGCTGACTGCGGAGGGTATAGGTAAGATATTGCATCCACGTAAGCTGCTGCTTGTTCGAGTTCTTCAAGACCTTGGTGTTGTCTTGGGACAGGATTAAGAACTAGAGGAGGTTGGGTCGATCCATGTTCATCCATTATCTCTTCTGCTCTTTCTGCGGTGTCGAAGCTAGTATTTTTGGAATCATCAGCAGACATATAGTATGGT